CCAGGCCAAGACTTGAGTCCACGGCTTAAACATGAAAGCCCTTGCTCCTCTGGCACTGCCCAAGAGCATGTCTTCGTTGTTACATGCTTGGAGTCTTAGCGTCTGCCCTCGCCGCTTGAATTCATCCTCCTCCCTGTTGCTAGAAGGGAGAATATTTCACACAAAACACTGCTTCTTTCCCGCCTAAAATGGTTTCAGTGTTCATCACCATTTTATGGAATTAAGACAAAATACAATGAGATCTCTGCCTGCTTCTTGTACCGTGCTCCCTCCCTCCTCCAAGTTTCAGGAATGCCCGGATACCACAACACTCTGCTAGGCAGCATCCAACGTATGGTGTATTCCATGCCAGAAACTCTAGGTCCTAGAAGCTGGACAATCACACTGTTCCCAGGAAGCTGCCCATCTTATCCATGGAGCCCACATGAACAGAAAGTCCTCTTTTATGTGTCCTGTGCTCTGCGGACCCCTCATATCATAAAACTAGGGGCACTGCATTCAAGTTGTGTGTTTTACCTAGGTCACCTCTTAAGAGTATTAATTCCTCAATGGTAGGATTAAGTCCTAGCCATCTTAATCCTAATACTGCACTTAACCAGGAGAAGAACTTGGCTTTTCTGTGATACTCAAATGGACTGTTACTTTCACAGCAGAAACTTTTTTTAAAAAGTAGTACTAGGGATTGAATCCAGGGCATTCCCTAGTCCATTTTTATTTTGAGAAAGAGCTTCACTAAGTCGCCCATCGGGCTTCAACAACCAGTGTGCTGGGATTACACGCAAGCGTCACTCTGCCCAGCCATCCTCCAGTAGTTACACTGACATAATGAAGTGAACATGACCAAAGGTATTCAGCACTTACTCATGAACTGTGCTTCGAAAAAAAGCCTCTATCAAACTAAGATTTTAAGGGCTGGGGATTTAGCTCAGCGGCAAAGCGCCTGCCTGGCAAGTGCAAGGTCATGAGTTCGGTTCCTGGTACCGGAGAAAAACAAACAAACAAACAAAAAAAAAACTAAGATTTTAAAAATAAAAGTGAATGGTCTAAAGGATAATCACAAATACCTGGAAAGCTCCCTATGTGCTCTTTATTTGTCTAACAAAATGGCATGATGTTATTTTGGGAAATAAACCCCAAACAGTCTACCAGATTTAGTGTGGAAAAATTTAAATTTGCTTTTGGTAATGAATGAATTTAAAAATTGCCCCTGGATTTTGTGTTCCTAACTGTGTAGTTGGAAGGTACTGGCAGTAAACAAGGATGTTGGGAAGATTTATCTCTTTCTGTGTAAGGGCAGGCAGTGTGTAGACTCAACTGCTTGTCTAAGACAAAAAACAACTACTGCACAGGTTCCAGCTGCAGGAGAGAAAACAGGCTCTTGTTCAAGGATACTACAGATTTCTCAGATACGTTCTGGGTAAACAGCCCTCCATCGTCCTCTCCTCAGTATTTACTACCCACTAATCTTGAATGTAGAAGAAAACTTTGAGCATCAGTACCCAGCAAGACAAAAAAATCATTATTTCCAGTTGTTGTTATACAATTAAATTTCTCCAGAGCCCAAAGATTCCAAAACAGCAACAGACAAACAAGGAATATTCCTGCACAAATACTGGCAACGTTGTTCTTTTAAATTAACATCCATGGCATATGTGGCTAGACAAGAGAGTCCTGAAATAAACAAGGTGGAACAGGAAAAAAGCTCTGCCTCACTCCAGTACTTGACACAAAGATGAAAATAAATTAAAGTAGCAAAAACTTTGTAACAAAAACTCTTTATAACTTTGATCACATGGGGCAGGAGACAGACACAGATCGTACATGAGAAAAAAATAAAAATGGAAAAGGAGCACAAAAAAACAAAATATATTACTCTGACACTAAAGTTCTCAATGGAGCTCTAAAGCTAGAACAAGCTGAGGAACCCCAACAAAGCACTACACAGACACCAAGATGTCAAATAAAATAGAAAATGAGTACACACATAAAATGAAAAGAAAGAAGTCAAGACATGACCGGGCCCACTGTATCTCAGACATGGTCAGGGACCATGAGACACCAGACTCCTTTCAGGAGGGGTGTGAGGTCAGACAACTCTCAGAGCAGTAAGGATGTCACTGCTTTTGTCAGTATGTTGACACAGTTCTCGGGGTACACAAGCAGTGCTAGCTAGCATTTTAATGCAAATCAAGGCAGCGACAGCTAAGACCAAACTCAGTGCCACACCCCTGCAACCACAAAAGAAGCCACATAACTCAAACATTCCGCTGTTAAATTATGAAAGTCATTTTAATAAACCAGAGTGAAATGGGTGTGGTGCCGCACACGTGTAACCCCAGCACTCAGAGGCTGAGGCACAAGGATTGCTGTGAATTCCAGGCTGGGCTGCACAGTGAGTTCACGGCCACATGAAGTACACAGCGAGAATTTGTCTCAAAAATTGAAAACACTGAAATGTAAAAATATGTTTTTTAATATCTGGTTTTGTGAAATGGCAGGTACACAAAAGGACAACTGTGATATGCTATCAAAGCAGAGGGCCATCTAAAAGTACTACAGAAACATTTCAACCTCAATCTCAACTGGACATTTCCTAAATTGAACACCTCACATACATATATTCAAAGTGCTAGTCCAAGAATCTTAACACACATCTATGTGAATAAAGGCTCCACGGTTAATCTGCTTACCTCTAGGAGGAGAAGGGTCTCCTGCTCCGTCCACTCTCTTCCAGCGCTAGCACCTTTACTCTAAGGAAGCAAAGTGAAATTATTTGTCTATCAAGGATGAATACAGATGGAGCATAGCACGGTTATTACGGGTCCGTTTTATGCAAACTACACAGGACCCACACAAGTCCCCAGTAAATAAAACACCAAAGAACGTCACTAGGCACTTAAAGATTTCTTATTGCCAACCAAAGACTTCTGGTTTTATTTGGCTTTGTGATTTCTATTATTCATAAATACAAATACCTTTGAAAGATACCAAGGAACAGTATTTTAATTTATACCATAAATCAGCTGTAATAAATACAATACTGTACAAATATTTAGTGTATTTTGAAAAAAGTACTTTTTCCCAGGTTGCAACACAAAATGCTGTACATATGTGACACTGACAGGTTCTTCACTGCAATTCCAACAAGTCTGTATTACTTCATTTCAATATTTTCATTAGTGTATGTGCACAGTACATGCTCACATCCCTTGTGTGGAGTTGGTATAGGTACATAATACATCTTTTTCCATCCTCTCTTCCTTCCCTCCCACTCTTTCAACATAGGGTCTGGCCTAGAACCCACTATACAGCCCAGGCTGTTGTAAACTGCTACCAGGCAAGCTGGGTATAGTGGCACACACCTATAAATCCAGCTCTTGGGATGCTGAGGCAGGAGGATCACTGTGAGTTCAAGGCCAGACTCTCTCAAAAATCAAACAAACAAGTACAATATATAGCAAGACCCTGCCTCAAAAAAAACCTCAAAATCAAAAAACAATTAAAATGCTATCAGTTTTCAGTGGAAAGCTCACTTCCTCCCACCGCAGAGAATAAATTATATTTCTTATGGAAAATGATTCATCATAAAAGTAGAACAAAGACGCTGGGCATGGTGGTATGTGCCTGTCATCCCAGCACTCGGGAAGCTGAGGCAAGAGCACTGCCAGGAGTTGGAGGCCAGCCTGGGCTACACAGTGAGTTTAAGGCCAGCCTGAACTGCATAGAGAGACCCTGCCTGAAAAAGATGAAGGCAAAGAGAACATGTACATATTCCTCCAAGTGCTCTGGGAAAACCCTCACCTTTGCTAATGTTTTCTTGGAGTAAATGTCAGTACGAAGACCGAAGTTTTGCAAATCAATTGGTTTTTCCTTGTTCTTTTCAGGAAAATTTAACATCTGTTGAGCAGCAGGGACCTATGTATGAGTCAGATAAAGATAAACAAGTCCATCAATCTGTTCAAAGATAAGTGGATAGATGTTTTTAAAAAGTTACTTAATACTGACACTTAAATTAGTCCTGCTGGATATTCTAACCTTAAAATAAATAATAATAATAAAAATAAAATATGTACACTGTACTACTGTACTATTAAGAAAAATTAAGACTACAAGAAACATTGTTGATGCCTCTTTAAATCGCAGAGAAGACAGACAACAAATTTTTCTTCACTATGATTTTATACACAACAAAAGGAAATTCATAGCTTAGGTTCATATTAGCCCAACTTAATGTTACTTATAATTTACCTGGCATAAATTTTTTTAAAAATTTACTTGGCATAATTGTATTTTTAACATGTGTCTGAAGCTGGGAGTGGTGTTGCATACCCATAATCCCAGCACTTGGGAGGCTGAGGAAAGATCACAAGTTCAAAGCCAGATTGGAACACATACCAAGACCCTATCACAAACAAATACACTAACTAACAACATGTGTCTGGATATATATTTTCAAATTTTTGAAGGTTTTTAATTCACATTTGTAGGACACATGGTGAATTAAGCAGATTTTGTGTTTTCTCCTTGCTCATTAGTCTTTGTAGGAGACGAATAAAGAGGTTAAGACTATGAATGTAAATCTACAACTTGATAGGATAAGGTACAGAATTTTAGAACTGATGCAACAACTAATCTTAAACCTTGCATATTTTAAGGAGTCAATCATTCATTCACTCATTTCTTTTGCGGTACAGGGGGTCTAATCCAGGGTCTTACGCATACTAGATAAGCTCTAACACAGAACTACACACCCAGTTTGGACTCAAAACATTCATTCTCACACTCTCGCTCTCTCTCTCTCTCACATACACACACACACACACACCTGTCAATTAAGAAGCGACACAGACACCATACCGTGTAAAAGGGATGATTTCTCCAAGAGAAGAAGGCTTTAAAGTGATTGTTACCCTCAGACTGGAAGAAAAGTCAGCATTGAGTACCTGAGGTGATCGAAGATGCAGAGGCACAAGCCCCGAGGGGGTGTCAGCTAACACATTGAAATGAGGAGTTGGAGGGGGTCCCATTGCCATGGGCCGACTTTCCGGATCAACTTGATAATTAACAAGTCCCCACTGCTCTAGAAAGGCGTGAACCCTAAAACACAAAGCTCTGAAAATTACAATCTAGAGACTCAATTTCTTCTCTATAATCATCACATCGTTTAAAAAAAGAAAAGAAAAACAAGTAAAGGTATTATCTGCAGGTTGCAAACCACTGGAATACCCGCCTGACAAATTTGATTTACTGAATGAGGAAATAAGTTGAACACACCTTTTTACGTTAGGTAATACAGAACCTCAAAACCTAGTAAAATGTTTAGTATTTGAATTACAGATATGGGAGAACAAATGTTCCTTTAAGTCCACAGTAAATGAACTCTCACAGGCCCGACCCACAGCAGACTAGTGATATTTTAGTTTTCTTTAAACAGGTCGAGGACAGAGTTTATCTACTTCCCACCACTTCCCATTTCTGGGCATTTTATGATTTGACTATAAAATAACATTATGTAAACTGCAAAATTTAAAAACTAAAATGAACATTAAAAATACTGAACCCGTCAGGGATCTATAGCTCAGTAGCACAGTGCCTGCCTGGCAAGCACAAGGTCCTGAGTTTGATTACAAGTACCAAAAAATGAAACAAAACAAAAAACCCTGAACTATAAAACACTGTACATAAGACTTAGCTGTTTTACTAAGCAAGAAAACATCCAGTGTAATCAGTCTAACATCACAAGGCAATGCTTGAGGAAGCACGAGCAGTGAATGGGCCGAGAGCAGGTGAGACAATACCTCATCACAGCACACACATCTCCAGTCAAGTTCCTCCGACAGGCAGTGCTGGTCAAATATTCTTGGGGATTCAGACGATATGTGTCGATCATAAAGTTTCGATATGCCAGGTATCTCAAAAGCAAAAACAAAACCCATAAGGGAGACATGAGTCCTTTCAGAAACAGTGACGAAGAGTCACAATTCAGACTCTTCACAATCATACACAAGATAGTTCAGCGAGCAAGACAACCAAATACAGTAATTCTATTAACACTGTGGGGCCAGGGTAGAGCTCAGCAGCACAAGCATCTGCCGGCAAGCGCAAGAGGTCCTGAGCTCAATTCCTGGTATCAAAACAAAAAACAAAACAAAAAAAAACCACTGTGGCTAAGGAAGGAGGGAGGCGATTTTGATGAAAGGACAAGGTTTAATCAAGCTCCAAAGGAGATAAGGTGTGGGCTGGGGATGTAGTTCAGTGGCATAAGCGCTTGCCTGGCAAGCCTGAGGTCCTGAGTTTGATTCCTGGTACCAAAAAAACCCAAAGGAGGTAAGGTAGTCCCTGCCTCAAATCTTTGCTCCCTTTCAGGTGTATAAGGTGGGGGAGAGTGCTACAATAAGACAACAGACAGCTCCCAGTGATCAAATCTGCATGTTTCTTTTAGATAGAAATTATTTTTTCTGATAGAAGCATTATTATTATTATTATTATTTTGTCCCTTCTGTCCATCTGGAGTAGGGCTGTTTTATGGAAAAACTATTTATCTTTTTATTTATTTTTTTGAGCAGGGCCCCTCTATTCAGTTCAGGCTGGCCTCAAACTAATGACAGTCCTCCTGCCTCAGCCTCCAAGGGCTGGGACTATGTGGCAACACTATACCAGGCTAGGTATTTACCTTTAAGACAAAAAAATTCTAATTTTTAAAGATCTACCTAACCCCTTAGATACACTTTTGTATTGAGTAATTATACTAATAAGTTACCTAATAAACAAATTAACTGCTTATCAATGTACAATAATAAACAAGATACAGTAATATGGTGATGCCAACGGAAAGTGACAAATAAGAACTCAGTCATGGGGGGCTGGGGATTTAGCTCAGCGGCAAAAGCGCCTGCCTGGCAAGC